TAAAAAAAAAGTATTCTTTTTTTTTTTTTTTTTTTGTAATCTTACTAACCTCAAACTTTTGAACAGTAGTTTATGCTGAATGTTTCGCCACAGTTAGAGAGAAGCAGCGACCAAGAGAATCTCTGACAGCAGCACAGCTGGACAGAACTTAAAGAAGACAACACTTTCTTATGACTGATCAGAGACAGTAAAGCCCAACCGGACCGCTGTGATCTGCTCCGTTTCTCTCCACATGATGGATTCCTGCTTGTCCAGATTGTACAGCCTCTTAATTCATGGCCTCGGTGGTGGAACAAATTCCAGCTCATACATCAGCCACTTTCAAAAGAAACCTCAAGACTCCCTATAACTAGACCTCACACAAATACACACACAAACCTGCACTGCAACAAACTGTATTTGTTGTATTATGTACAGTAGGCCCTTGTATTGGTAGGAAAATATATATAACATATATATAACTCATAATAAGACAGTATAAAAAGGATTTTTACTTTGTGTTGAATGTTCACAGGTGCACTCTAAAAAATGCTGGGTTAAATATAACCCAGCGCTGGGTGATTGTGTGTAATGGTGAGTGATGGTAAGTGATTTTAAGTAATGATGAATAATGGTGAGTGATGGTTCATTGATTTGTGTGAGAGTGAAATAGCTTATGTGATGGTTACATTTGGCAAGTAATGGTAAAAAATGGTTAATGGTGTGAGTAATGGAGAATAATGTTTATTGATTGTTCATTGATGGTAAATGATGGTAAATAATGGTGTGTGTGGTGGTTTATTAATATGAGTGATTTTCAGTGTTTGAGTGATATTAGTGATGGTAACTAATGATGACTAATGGTAGGACTGATAGTTACCGGACTGCAGACCACAATTAGAAACTGGCAAAACAGTCTTCAAAGAAACTGCATTGAATGGATTATGCAGATTGGTGAAAAATTGTGGATAGTGTTCACTAAATAATGGGTGAGTGATGGTTTATTTATACTGTAAATTATGTTCGTTTTTGGAGAGCAATATTAGTGATGATGAATAATGCCAGGATTGTTAACTAGTTAATGGATTATAAACCACATTTATAAACTCATAAAATAAAGAAAGGCAAGGCAATGCATATGCATCGAATGCATAATGGTGAAAAAATTGTGAAATGTTGGTGAATTACGTTTCAGTGATAAGGTTGTGAAAGATGTGCTGTGATGTTGAGTGATGCTGGTGTTTCTCAGAGCAGGTGGATTGTCAGCAGCAGTGAGGGAATCACCGAGCACACTTGCACGCTCCTCTAGTGCTCCACAGACCTTCATTACTCCAGTCTGTCGATGTGAGACGCGGATGACAAAGTTGAAATCGCAGGGGCACGAATCGAACCGTCGCTTTGCAGACGTTATAACGAAGAAGAGGGGTTATATCGTGAGTCATTCTGTGATGGTGAGTTTGCGCTTCTTCTTCGCGTTTCTTCAGTCATTGATCGCAGTCTGACGCTACAGCCATACACTGAATGCGGGCGACCTCCGTTCACAATAATACACGATTGTCAACGGCGTGTTTCTTATTCGCTTCACGCGTGTTTCTACAGACGGATTAATTGTTAATGTAAGATGAGTGAATATTCAGAGACCGCAGAGATCATTGGGCTTTGCTTTGTTGGATATACGTTCAGTTCAATAATTTAAAGATGATTTGTGGGTTATAATGTACCGATTCATCCACATCATGACTTTAAAAGGATGCATTTTAATGCATCCAAAACGTGTTTGTCGCAAACCGTTGTTCAGCGTGAGCTGTAAATGGATGCATCTCATGAACCACATTTCACCCCCAAATTAAAAGGAAACAATACTAAATTATATTTGCATTAATATTTTCATTACAATGCATCACGGTTCCATTGACTGTATTGCAGAAAATAATTCTATATCATTTAAACAGTAATATTATTAATATATTTCAAGGCTGTATTTGTTGTACCACCTTTAAAATCGACTGATTTTAATAAAAAATAAACTGACCAGACAGGATGATTTCATTGCTTTGTTACAGTAATGAGAATCTAATGCGAACCATCATTAAGAATAATGAGATTCACAGCCAAACCTCAAAAGTTAAGCATGGTGAGACTTAACAATGAAAACTAGGGAGAAAATGAGTTGAATTGTACTGAAAATAATGCAGAATATATATTGTGTCATAAAAAGCCATTGAATGCATTTGATTTCTTTTGGGGTGAAATACAATCCAATACACTGATATGCACCTCATGAAGCAAACTTGTGTGTTTTGAGCCAGAAAAAAAATGTTGCAAGTGTCATTTACAGCAAATCACCTGTGTAAAGCCAATAATCAGCCAATTCTGATGGTTTCTCTCGTGCATTAGGTCTGTTGTCTTTCTCTAACGCCTCACACCATCATCAGTAAATCAATCCAGATTTCTGCAGTGAATATGAAGGCATGCAGTGAGTCACAGCACACATTAATGCTGCCTTCACATTCATGCAAAACAAACCCAACCACTGTATATTCCCATTCAGATTATTGCCTCGAAATGAATCAGATTTTTTTTTAAAGTGCATGTATAGGAACCACCTCCATTTTATTGAGAAGCCTTGCACACTTTTGACCTTGTAATGTTTTGACATTATGAACCATATTAAGTCATTTCAATTCATTAGGTACTGCAAATGTGATGCTTTTCTCTCTTGTGTTACAGGAATTCATGTAGCAATACAGTAGGTCACAATAGCATTAGCCGTATAAAAATATACTAGAACATACAATGTTAAATGACCGTTATTATTATTGCCAGATGCTGTTGTGCCTTCAAGAGCACAGAGCCCATTCAGAAACAGAGCCCTGTTCAGCCCTGTGCTTCTCATTATGATGGTTATCAGAGCCACTGTGTGTTTTGCATTCATAAAAAAAACCTTCTGTTTGATTGACACTCAACTGTCTTTCTCTCCTTGAAGTGCCTGTTGTTTGCATCCCACAAGGGTTACAAAAATAGCACAGAGAAGGGAGAAATGTGCAAGAAAAAACATTTAGATGTACATTTTCTACTGAAATTGGCGTTTGTAGACTTGAGAACTGCAGTGAATGTAAAGCATTCACATACAACCAGAACAAATAATCAGAGGTTCATTGGGAGGAAAACAGTGTAATATCTGATTCTTTTCAGCATCAGATCATCTTGTTTTTCTGATCATGCAAGTTAGGAGTTCTGCAGTTGCATGTAATTGAATCACTACTCGTTCTTGTCTATGTGTGTGTTTTAGTGTGTGTTTTATTCGCTATGATTCATCCATTTATTCCTTTTTTGGGGATCTAAGAAAGATGAGTAAGACGGCGGGGGCTCGGAGACCGTTCACTATCCTCACAGAGGTCCTGTCTTAAGGGATTTTATACCTTCTTAGATTCGCTGTGGATCAGTAAATCTGGCTGACACACATTTCCCGTAAACTCCTGCCCACTCGGCCCTCCCTCCGCATTGACCCTGCACACTTCAGCGATCAGAGATTTGATTATTTTGGATGGGGTTGTATATAATAAAGAACGTAAGGGTGATTCAGTGTTATTGTGGATCCAGACTGAGCGTCAGCCACTGTGCTGCAGTGTATTATGATGTGGCCAGGAGTACTGAAGCAGCTCTGTGTCTGTGTGTGTGTGTTTTAAAACAATGTTCCTTCTCTTTTAGGCTTTATAAGGTTGTGTGTGAGATCTCTGGGAACAATCGTGAGCAGAATGCATAGACACATGACTAGAGAGTCCTTCCTCAGCCTCTTCCTCATCATCAGCCTGGTAAGAGCAGAGACGGACACATATTTTTCTTCTTTGGGCCTGTGTTGGGCCATAGATTTACATGATTATATTTCACAAATGTGACCATTATTGACGTTTAATGAATTACTATTACAATTGCTTATTTAAAGTTAGTGTTTTGAACAAACCCCTAACCCTCATTATTAAACATTGGGTGTCATGATTTTGTCTGGTAGACTATAAAATAGCCATATTTAGAGACCAAAGACTTTAAGCATCCATCCAGAAAACCATAGAAAGCAGCTACCAGTGCCCTAGCAACCATTCAGAACACCCTAGCAACCACAAGTATTATTTAAGTATGATTTATATACTGTTATAGTTTATATTAATGTTCTAAATTAGCTTTTATTTATTTATTTATTTTTCATTTTAATTTTAGTTTAATTTATAAAAAATATTTCTGTGCTTTTGTCAGTTTTATTAGGTTTTTTTTTTTTTTACTATTACTATGTTGGTTTAATTTATTTTTATTTTTATTTCAGTTTGTTTTTATTAATTTCCATTTTCAAGTTTATTTTCAATAATTTTAGTTCTTAAACTTATTTCAGTTAGTTGCCAAGGCAACATTTTTAATAGATTCATTTTTTTTTACACTTTTACACTTACACTTTACCTTCCTTAGTTAACCTCAGTTAATGCATTAACTAGCAATAACTAATAATGAGCAATACATTTGTTACAGTATTTATGAATCTTTGTTAATGTTAGCTCATAAAAATACACCTGTCCTTAGTTCATGTTAGCTCAGATTCATTAAGTAATATTAACAGATTTAAGTTTTGATTTTAAAAATGTATTAGTACATGTTGAAATTAACATTAACTTGTGGACACCTTGGAAACAGGTAGTAGCACTAAAACAGAACTAGTTTTTGTATTTTCTTCTTCAGTGTTCACAATGCTAGTGTGTTTCACCAGAGTGTTACTACTCTGGCGAAACACACTAGCATTGTGAACAGGCAAGCAGAAAATACAAAAACTAGTTCTGTTTTAGTTCCACTACCAGTTTCAAAGCATATCTGAAAGGTTGACTTTTAAAAGAAGAAGAAAAACACATTCTGAGGTTTTGTGATAACTGTGGTGTGATAAAAGACTTCTTGGTAATTTCCCTACAGTGAGGTAACAAACGAGCATGTTATCTTTAATCAAAATAAAGAGAAAAGATGTTTGAATGGAGGGTTTTGTTGATTTGCATAATAAGTCCATTGAAAAATATTGCTCCGATGTTGCTCTTATATAGTGATTTAATTTCACCTCTATATCTTCACACTTAAAATAAAGGTTCTTTGTTGGTTCACCTTTAAAATCCATGGAGCCTTTCAATTGCACAAAGAAGTCTTTATAGTGGAAAAAAGGTTGTTTAGAATTTTTAAAATGTTCTTCACACTAAGAAAAAATGGTTATGTATGTGTATTTTTTTTTCCTAATTTTTTAAATGCCAAAGCGCAGTATTTTACATGCATGTGTTTATTGATATACTCAGTAAAAAATAATGATACACCTGTATTAAGTCTAATTAAAACCTAGTATTTGAGTCTATAAATGCAGTAGAATTCAGAATCCAGATGACACAGTGTGGTCAGTAGCAACGAAAAGGGAACCGTCATTTATTAAATTATTTGTGTTTCTGGGAAGGTTTTATTTTTGTTGGAATCCAGACTGCAGACAGGATCCTTTTAGATTGGCGATTTTGAGCTCTGACCCCTGACCCCTGACAATTAAGGCCTGAACGTCCCAAAGGAAGGCCAAACGAAAGGTTGGGTATAAGGGGTCAAGTGTATATATCTGAAATATTAAATGCCTCATTTTACATAATTAATTTTAGGACTTTCGCATAACATTTCAGTAACCACAAACATTAGATTACAAGTTACTCAGAGTGTGTATTTTCAGTAAGTTGCAGGGGAGGTAACCATAGCAACAGTTGGCTGCTCAAGTGCTTTCCATTCGGATCAATGGACAGTACATCATGTAATGTCATTATTTGGCACTTTGTTTTAGATTTATTGTGCTGTATAATTCACACCCTACTACAGACAAATCACTGTTTTGCATTTTTGACACCACATTTCTTTTTATCTGTGCATGTTAAAAGAAACCTCCACACATTGCTATACATTTTAAAGGAATAGTTCAACCAAAAATGGAAATTTACTGAATATTTACTCACCCTCAGGTCATCCAATATGTAGATGACTTTGTTTCTTCATCAGAACATATTTGGAGAAATTTAGCATTGCATCACTTGCTCACCAATGGATCATCTGCAGTGAATGGGTGCCGTCAGAATGAGAGTCCAAACAGCTGATAAAAACATCATAATAATCCACTCCAATCAATCAATTAACATCTTGTGATGTGAAACGCTGTGTGTTTGTAAGAAAAATCCATCAAGATGGATTATTGTGATTGTTTTTATCAGCTGTTTGGACTCTCATTCTGACGGCACCCATTCACTGCAGAGTATCCATTGGAACAGCTGATAAAAACATCATAATAATCCACTCCAATCAATCAATTAACATCTTGTGATGTGAAACGCTGTGTGTTTGTAAGAAAAATCCATCAAGATGGATTATTGTGATTGTTTTTATCAGCTGTTTGGACTCTCATTCTGACGGCACCCATTCACTGCAGAGGATCCATTGGTGAGCAAGTGATGCAATGCTAAATTTCTCCAAATCTGTTCTGATGAAGAAACAAACTCATCCTAATCTTGGGTGGCCTGAGAGAGAGTAAATTTTCAGCAAATTTACATTTCTGGGTGATCTATTCCTTTAAACCAATTAAACGTATGCTTCATGATCAACAGATATCATATCACAACCATCACTGTTCCTCCATGTCTTCTTGATGGTTACAGACGTTTGGCTGGATGTGGAGTATACAAAGATTTCAAACCAGGTCATACGGGTTTAAGGTGATCAAGCTGGTTTTGAAACATGGTAGCAGGTTTTTTTTACTGGTTCAAAAGGGTTTAGGACAACCGGTTTTAGCTGGATTTTTACAGAGATGGACATTCAATCCAACACAGTAACAAACCCTTCTGACAGCAAAGACAGAAATAACACAACTTCTATAAAAGATAAAGTGTGTGAAAGTTTTTTTTATTTACCCCCAGAGAGGTAGACGGGACCAGTGTTGGGGGTAACTCATTACAAGTAATGCGAGTTACGTAATCAGATTACTTTAAGTAACTAGTAAAGTAACGCATTACTTTTTAATTTACAAGAGAATATCTGAGTTACTTTTTCAAATAAGTAACGCAAGTTACTTTTTTTCCAATTTATTGATTGACAGCTCTCCTGTCCCCATGTTGAGAGAAATCCAAAGATATTACTGTAGTTATAAAATAAATATGAATATGCATTCATTCATCTCACTCACTCACTCACAAAAAAAAAAAAAACACGGATTCAGTATTCCTCAAAATGAATAAAAATAATGCAACTCAGAATATGACGCAAACCTGCAATAATTAAATGTTAAACAACACAAATATCCTTTATGTATTTAATCCCATTCTATTAACCAATGTCTTTGCTTCTGACCTTCGATGATCCAGTTCAACCATACTAATAAGCAAAAATTACTCTAGACAAACGCTTTTTTATTGCTGAAGTGTTGAAATTTCTTCTTCTGCATTCTACTGTACGGACGTAAATTTAAATTTCCTTCAGCCTGAGGCTTATTCATTTCACTTTTGGTGTGAAACGGCTTTTATATTTGCCAAAAATAGAACTCTTTTATTTTAAAAACAAACAGGCAAGCCCTGACCAGATTTAAAAAGTAACGCAAAAGTAACGTAATGCATTACTTTCCATAAAAAGTAACTAAGTAACGTAATTAGTTACTTTTTTTATGGAGTAATGCAATATTGTAATGCATTACTTTTAAAAGTAACTTTCCCCAACACTGGACGGGACCAGCACAGATTTTGCAGGTTGATTTTCATCTTGATTATATGCAGGCAAGTTGTTAGTGGAAACGTTTTTGTGGCATGAATTCAGCTGCTGTTTGTTCATCCTGCTCTTGTGTTGTTCTGGTTTATTTATGTGTTTTGTCTGTTTGTTGATCCAGATGTGGCCCATACATTCAGAGATCTCCAACTGCGTCATCAAACGTGAGGAGGAGAGATGCTTGGAGCGAATCGCTCTGCACGACACAAAAGATGACGAAAAGTTTGGTAAGAGAGCGAAGACTATCTAACCCACTGTATAGTATACTATGTATACAGAGTATATGCATGGAATATACAGATGAGCAAATGTGGCAAAATGTCAAGTGTACATCTAGTATGGAATTCTGTTACATAATCCAGTGCGTTTAATCTTCCAATTACAGTGTGAAAGATGAACAGGAAATGATAACAGCTGAAGTTTTCCCTTTCTAGAGTAATTTTCAATCTAACTGCATCAAAACAGAGCCGCCTCCTTTGCACATGTCTGAATCACAGTGAACCGCGAGCTGATGAGTGAGCTGATAATAAGAGCATTTTTGTAAAGAAAGATTTCGGCTGATGGGTCAAAATATAAGTTACTTTAATAGCTGGTTTCTATAAAAATGCTATTTTTTTAATAAATATAATTTGATTAAATCAGGCAAAACTTTTTGGTACACTACTGTTCTAAAGTTTGGGGTTGATAAGATATTGTTCTTGAAAGAAGTCCCTTATGCGCACCACGGCTGCATTTATTAGATGAAAAATACAGTAAAACCAGTAAAAAAAAAAAAGTGAAATATTATTACAATTTAAAATAACTTTTCTATGTGAATATATTTTAAAATGTAATTTATTGCTGTGATGCGCAGCTGAATTTTCAGCATCATTACTCCAGTCTTCAGTGTCACATGATCCTTCAGAAATCATTCTAATATGCTGATTTACTGCTTAAGAAACATTTCTTATTATCATCAATGTTAAAACTGTTGAATATTCTTGTGGAAAATGTGATACATTTTTCTTTAGGATTTTATGATGAACAGAACTGTAGTTTTTGCATCCATATGGCCTTATTGGACTGTGTAAGATCATGTAATATGCCAGACGGGGATGTCAGCAATCATCAAAGAACTGCTTGAATCATTTTTTTTAGGCGATTCACTGAAATGAACACTTGAATTCATGGAAATGATTCGAATATGTCACAATGCAACATTCCATCTAGCGTGTTTTCCATTCTGTACTTCCCATCTCGATATCAGTCCTTCTTCTGAAAGAATTAGTCATGATTCTCCATCTCTCCCAGAGTTTCAATATAAGCACTAAATTAACTAGAACTTGCGTTCACTGGATTCATTTCGGTCGCTGTGTACTAAATGTGTCATCCGTCCCCTATAGAGGTATTCAGGTATTGTGGTAAACAGGAAGCAGGGCTGTGACACCTGTCAGCAATTACAGAGAAGAGAAGTTATTTTTGTGAGAGCTGGAGGACTCATCCAGCGGGATGTGGATAAATGGGCCGAGAGGAAGATGGAGAGAAAGCACTTTGACTCTGACTCATATGTTTGCAGCCTCAAGGACACTCCAGATAGTTCTGACTGGAGCAGAAAATAACAGATTATAAGGTGTAAAACAGCTTGAGTTGCGGTAAAAGATTTACATGTCGAATTTCAGTGCAAAAACCTGCATGTTTTTCAATAACCAGCTGCAATCCACCTTAACCAGATGTGCTGTATATTGTCATTGCTATTATTTTCTGAGCAAATACACCTTTTCATTTCAGAAATCAGCAGTAAATAGAGCTTAATTTCAAAAGGCAATCAATTTTAGGATTAAATAAATTGATTAAAAATGACAGTAAAGTCATATATTACATGCTGCTTTTTTTCTTAAAGGAAATAAATCCTTTTATTCAGCAAGGATGCAGTAAATTGATTAAAAATGGCAGTAAAGACATAATGTTACAAAATATTTATTTTTCAAATAAATGCTGTTCTTTTGAACTTTCAATTCATCAAATAATCCTGGAAAAGAAAAATTACTGTGTTACCGTTTCCACAAAAATATGAATCCGCACAACTGTTTTCAGCATTTATAATAATCAGAAATGTTTCTTGAGCAGCAAAGCAGCATATTAGAATGATTTCTGACTGATCATGTGACACTGAAGACTGGAGTAATGATGCTGAAAATTCAGCTTTGACTCACAGGAATAAATTACATTTTTACCAGTGGTGTGCGGTGGTGTTCGGAAATGAGGAGGCAAAGTCCTCAAAGTTTTTTTTTTTTTAATCAAATGCAAATTCATTGCCCAGTCACATTTTCTTGGTTAAATAAACATTACTTAGACTATCCAAAAAACAACAAAAAAAACACAATTCTATTTTATATTTTTACTTTAACAACAATGTAATCAATATTTTATTTATTATTAAAGTCATGTATTAATCTCATCAAGTTAGTGTTTAAGCATTTTACATTTATTAAGATAATAACACAGCAGTATAATTTAAACAATATATGTTATTTGTGAACTTATGTTCAGCTATTCTTTTTAATAGTTAACTTTTAACTATTTTAGAATTTTTCAGATCATCAGTCATCAAATTTCATCAAGCTGATTGCTCACTAAAAACTCCTACAGATCATGTTTTCATGCCATTTTAAGTCTTATTTTGACGTAACAAGGTGGTTTTATCTGTGTGTGAGTTGTTTTTTTAATTAGTCTTCCCATTAGCGGCATTATATTGTTCATTCAGACTGATTCACGAACGCGGAACTCGCACAACAACAAGAGGCGGGATTTATCGCATGAACCAATCACAGCCTAACATAGCCAGTCACATCCAATCATATCACGATGGAGGCATTGCCTCCTCTCACGTGACTTTCCCCCATTCATTCTCAATTACCCCCCAGAAAAGTCACAGCACGCTATGGGGTCTCTGTTAAAGGGGTCATATGATGCAATTTCAAATTTTCCTTTCTCTTTGGAGTGTTACAAGCTGTTTGTGAATAGATAAGATCCCTAAAGTTGCAATGACTAAAGTCTCAAACCCAAAGAGATATTCTTTATAAAAGTTAAGACCAGAAAGGTGGGGCATAGAGGAGAAACAATAATGTACATTATGTGGAAAATAATGTGTTTTTTGAACCTTAAACCGCATAAACACATTGCATTACACCAAATACACAACATAATGTTCTTTTTAGCAACATCATATGACCCCTTTAATAGTCAATGTGCTCAGGGGAGGCGAGCCTCCGCTGTAACTGTACCTGTGGGTGTCGCTGTTGGACAGTGTTACTTTAGAAAAATGAGTGATTTATACACTTTTTAATGTTATACTTTGTAATATGGCCATTGTTTCATTTTTGTTCTACAAATTTTTTTTTTTCTCATCCAGTATTTTGAGGAAACACTGCCTCCCTTGCCTCCTCGGAGGAAACGCCCGTGATTTTTATTTTAAATTGTAAAAATATTTCACAATATTACTGTTTTTACTGTATTTTTAATTGAAGTCTTAGTGAGCATGAGAAAAGCAACAAATAAATAAAAAAATCTTACTGACCCCAAACCTTTGAACGACAGAGTGTACAAACCTAAATGTTAATTAATATGAATTGTTTTTTTCCCCAGTAGTTTTAAACTGAAAATGCACTGTAAAGTGCAAAATTAACTAGTAATTTTAACAAATTTGATGTAAAAGGATGTAAAATATCTGGCTATGTGTGTTCAGACATCTCCCTTTTCAGCCTCACTTCAGAGCCATTAAATTCTTGGCAAATTTTAGCCATCCAATCAGCATCCTCTGGGGCGGTTAAGCTAATTAGACGACAATAGTATCCTCAACCGCAACGGAGAGCAACATGCTTACCAGCAGAGAATTAAGCGTCAGTTTCAAGATATCTGAAAACCATTCATTCAAACTGCAGTAACTGAAGACCTTGTTAAACTCAAAGCTCTCATTTGTGGGGAATGATGTTGTACAGTAGCTGCAAAATATGGCTTTAGTGAACTCAAGGTCATTCTGAGCACAGGGACCTGCAATTTATACCTTTAAATACATTTAAATGTATCAAATATTTAGTTTTAAATGTGTGTTTGTGCTATTTTTCTTAAGTAAATGCTGCTTGGTTCGATATTTTGCGAATGTAATGCATTGACCTTTTTGCGTGTGACTTTTGTGTCCGAATGCTCTGTGTTTTTGAACTGGGAGTATTTTGGAGGAATGACCTCTATGTTCCGCCTGTTTACATCTGCTTCATTGATCTTTGTCCTCTCGTGTTCCTTAAAGCACAGCACGCTCATCGCTGCGCAGACAGAAAATCATTCAGCTGGAAATAAAACAGCCACGTTTGCAAGAAGGGGGAGAAAATGAGATTGACAGATGCAGACAGAAAAAGCAAGTGTGTGTGAGAGAGAGAAATTGAGACAAAAGAGAAAGTGAGCGAGAGTGATAGTGTCATTTAGAACATGAGCGTTATAACACAGAATAATTGTAACTGTAATTACAACTGTAATTTTTATGATATTCATCTTGATTCATTTTTGATTGGACTGCCAAACGGTCAGACATTTTACACAAAATTGGGTTAAAAATGTCAAATAACGCTTCATTGATCTTCGTCCTCTCGTGTTCCTTAAAGCACAGCAGGCTCATCGCTGCGCAGACAGAAAATCATTCAGCTGGAAATAAAACAGCCACGTTTGCAAGAAGGGGGAGAAAATGAGATTGACAGATGCAGACAGAAAAAGCAAGTGTGTGTGAGAGAGAGAAATTGAGACAAAAGAGAAAGTGAGCGAGAGTGATAGTGTCATTTAGAACATGAGCGTTATAACACAGAATAATTGTAACTGTAATTACAACTGTAATTTTTATGATATTCATCTTGATTCATTTTTGATTGGACTGCCAAACGGTCAGACATTTTACACAAAATTGGGTTAAAAATGTCAAATAACTGTTTTTTTTTTTTCAAATGCTGATAATATCTTATTTCAAAAGGAATAGCTGGATGCCACTTGTTGAATTAACATGCAACATAATGTGACTGTATTATTTCTATACTTTTATATGTTATAATACTTCTAATATTTATTATATACTTTTATAGTTATAATATAATAAAACTTTAACATCACAGGAATAAATGACATTTTTAAATATATTAAAATAGAAAACCATTTTAATATTTCATAATACTATTTTATAACTATTTTTGATCAAATAAATGCAGCCTTGGAGCTTAACAGACTTTCCCTTGTTGAATTAACATGCAACATAATGTGACTGTATTATTTCTATACTTTTATATGTTACAATACTTCTAATATTTATTATATACTTTTATAGTTATAATATAATAAAACTTTAACATCACAGGAATAAATGACATTTTTAAATATATTAAAATAGAAAATATATATATATGAACATTTTTTATTAAAAATTATTTTGAATGATGCCTTTACTGTTTTACCCTTTTTTAACTTTTGAATGATTTGGATCCATTTGTACATCAATTTTTCTCCAATTATTGATTCCATTGGAGAGACTTATAAATAAAAATGGCCTAAAATTAACCAAAATGTAAAAAATAAAGATAATATCATATTTGAAAGGTGATAACTGGTTGCCCTATGTTGAATTAAACGTACAATATAATGAGCTCATGTGACAGCATTAATTTAATATTATTTATATACTATTACAGTTTTATTATAGTACTATGGTATTTATTTATATTTTGAATTAGCTTTTAGTTTTTAGTTTTCATTTTAGTTTTAGTTAGTTTTATTAATTTTGTCATTTTTATTTCTTTAAAATATATATTTTTAGCTTAAATAGCTTACATTTATATGTATTTCTTTTTTACTTTTAGTACTTAAACCTGTTTCAGTTATCAGTTTTTCATTTTAAATTATTCATCTTTTTTTAGATCATTTTATTTCAGCTTTATTTCAATTAAAAGTGATTTTTAGTTTAAAAAAAACTATTTTTCAAAACTAGTAAGCATAGTGTGTTAGTATTCAAACATAGCATATTCTACACTTTCAAAATGCTCTTGAATGAAGCTGTAATGATGTTACGCTAGAGCAGCCGTACGTCCTCAGGGCTCCTGACTCATCAATGACGTCACACTTTGATTAGTCTTTGAGTCCAATCGGCAAAATCTCACCAATAAATCTGATTAAGATCTAGCATTGACCTTTGTAGCAGTGAGTCAGTCTGAGCACATGTGTTCATCTGAAGCTGTTTGCTAGCAGAAATGATTCAGAGAGTCAATATTCTGTGTCAGTATGAACACTTTTATCTGCATCTGGTTAGTTTGCTATATCTCCATCTCTCTCGCTCTCTCCCGCTGGTTTAGAGAGCTCTCATTTGGCCTTTCAGATAATTGGCTTTGTGTCTGGACCGATTTGAGATCTGTGAGAAAGAACATGCGCCACCAGACAGACAAAACCTACTGCTCTCCACCTTTACTTTGATATTCACTCGAGCTAGACAGAGCAGACAGGCTGCCGACGGAGAAACTGAACGTCGCTATAGAGACTTTAATCAAACTAAATGTTCAGAGTCTAGTTAATCAGGCTCTCGGCCAAAGTAACTATGACTTAATTCCTTCCTGCGAGTTAGCAAAACATCTAAGCACATGCTCATGAATTATGTTATTGTTTCAGTGATCAATTCTATCAAATGAGCTGCAGAGAAATGTTATTTTTCCTTGGAGAGTTACCAGAGGAAAATGACTGCTAAAATGTTGCTTCAGTTTTTATATAAATGAAACAAATATCTGAGTCAGAGTAAAATTAATCTGGATAGTATTCATTCATTCATTCATTCGTTTGTTTGCTTTTATTTAGGTTTTATATTTATTTAGTTAATTAGTTAGTATTTATAGTGATAATATTGAGACACAATAACATTATTTCATTAGTTTATTAGTGTTTGTTCATTATTATTGTTTTAATATTTATTTGAATATTCATTCATTCATTCATTTGTTAGTTTTTATTTAATTTGAGTTTATAGTGTTCTTATTAATTAAGATTGGATGGTATTCATTTATAAAATTTATTTATATTAATTCATTCAGTTTAGTTTGTATTTATAGTGTTCATGCTGAAACTCGATTGTATCTTATAGAATTTATTTATAGAATCTGGGTAGTATTTATTTATTTATTCATTTTATTGAGTTGTATTTATTATAGTGTTCACATTGAAACTCAATAGTATCTACTTATTGAATTTATTTATAGAATCATGGTAGTATTTAGTTATTCATTTTTTATTAGTTTTTATTTAGTTTGTATTTATAGTGTTCATATTGAGACTAGATAGTATTTATCATTTATTTACTGTATTTTTTATTTATTTGTTAGGTTTTATTTAGTTTGTATTTATTTGAAATTGAGATTTGATAGTATTTATTTATTTAGATCATATTTAGACTGTTATTTATTTAGTTATTTAGTTATAAATTAGAACAGAAATAGACACATCTGAACTCTAAAGCCCCGTTCACACCAAGAACGATAACTATAAAGATAACTATAAAGATAACGATATTAGCGTCCACACCAGCGAACGATATCGTCTGTTTATTCTAAGCGCACATGCGTCTGCCGCTTTAAATTCTTGAGCTCGTTACAGCAGGATGGATTCTGATTGGCTGTCAGTGTTTTATCGTTCATCAGCTGGAAAAAAAATCGTTTTGAAAGTGATCACAACGATATCGTTCCTCTGTATCGTTATCGTTATAGTTGTGGTGTGAACTATAGGCCACGACTTCTTTAGGGGAAGTCGTGGCCTAATGGTTAGAGAGTCTGACCCGTAACCCAAAGGTTGCGGGTTCGAGTCTCGTACCGGCAGGGATTGTAGGTGGGGGGAGTGAATGTACAGCGCTCTCTCCCACCTTCAATACCACGAAGTCACTTTAATATTGAGAACGATTTTTAGAACTATATCTTTATCGTTATCTTTATAGTTATCGTGAACGGACCTTAAATCTGCCTACAATTCACTTCGAAATCTGTTGTTGATATTCTGACAGCATCAAGTATCTCCACATTCTTTAATTCATCTTTTGCATCATTTTGCTTGTTGCCACCAGACTGAGTGAGAGTCATTTCTGTAATTAATTCCACAATCATTTCTGTAATGAGCTGAAGGAAACGAGGAGTCAAATGCAATTGTGAAAGTGATGGATTCTGATCCATATCACCTATTGATCATGTTGAAGTCCTCAGGCAGGAGACGCTGCTGACGCCCCCTGCTGGTTACAGTTACGCTCACCTTGGCTTCCCCTCCAGGACTAATCTTAGAAAGATTTTGCTATAATTGAGATTTAAACGGAGACATCGGTTATAGTGTCACGAGTCCAGATGTAATTTGGCTTTATGAGACTGAGGCAAAAAAAAGGATATTATCGGTGATGTTGCGGTACAGATATCGTTTCCGTTTGTAATACCATGATATTTCAATATCTGTTATATATGCTTTTGAATTATTATTATAATTCAATGCCATGCTATTTACTTGGCACTCTAAGGACGTTCAAATAATACAGTGGTAACTGTCTAAAACAAAGAGGCCTGAAATCTCTGGTAAAAATAGTCCCAGCTTGTCAAACCTAACTATCTGCTGTGAGATGTGAGATTGGTTGTGTTCTTTTCAGAGTGTCCGTGGGAGTGGGATGATCTGACCTGCTGGCAGGCGGCCAGTGTCGGCGAGGTCGTGAAGGTCAACTGTCCCGAGCTCTTCGAGTTTATGAGTCCAGAGGAGGGTGAGAGATGTTTAACGATGATGTTATTTTTTAATATATTGTTGCTTTATAGTACTAGTTTTGAATACTCCCCTAACAAAAAATATTGGTAATACTTTATAACAAGGTTCCATTTGTTAACACTAGTTAACTACATTAGTTAACAAATACGTCTAAAGCAGGGGTGTCCAAACTTTTCCTAAAGAGGGCCGGATTCGACGATGTGGAAACACTGGGGGGCCGGATGCTTCTACCTATATATATATAATTGATATCACTCGCGTTTTACTGCTACATCTGGTCTAAAATGTAGTGCTGCCATCTTGTGTTGACATTTGGCCCGCGGGCCGTAGTTTGGACACCCCTGGTCTAAAGTATGTATTAAGTAAGAGATCATGTACATCCAGCCGGTTGTTATCGCAGAATAACTCCTGACAAGGTGATCATGTGCCCGATGCAGCTACTTGCCACATAAGTAAAGAATTAGACACGAAATATTGATTTGAGTTGAAATATTTGAACGCAAAGCTTCTGTGAAGACGGACATTTAAAGGGATAGTTCACCCAAAAATGAAAATCACCCCATGATTTACTCACCCTCAAGCCATCCTAGGTGGATATGACGTTCTTCTTTCAGACGAATACAATCAGAGTTATATTAAAAAATATCCCGGCTCTTCCTAGTTCACCGGAGCTTACACTATGCCTACATCCTACATCATCCGCTAGAACGCCACTCTCTCGTGAACGCACGTACGACAGTTAGCAGAAGCTAGAGATTGCGGTTTATTAAGTTATAAATATGGATATTTTTCTTACACAAAGGCATCGATTTGCTTCAGAAGGCCTTTATTAACCCCCTGGAGCCATGTGGAGCACTTTTTATGATGGATGGATGCACTTTTTTGGGCTTCAAAATCTCAACACCCATTCACTGCCATTATAAAGCTTGGAAGAGCCAGGACATTTTTTTTATATAACTCCGATTGTATTCGTCTGAAAGAAGAAAGTCCTATAAACCTAGAATGGCTTGAGGGTGAGTAAATCATGGGGTAATTTTCATTTTTGGGTGAACTATCCCTTTAAGGGATACGGTACAGTCATACCACGTATTACACAGCATTTCACCACATAAATAATTATTGCCATTTAGATGAAACTTTTAAAATCGTAACAGTTTGTTAGTTATCTTATAATCCATTACAGTGTACAAAAAAATCGTCGCAAAAATGGCAGCAGCTGCGTTTGTATAAAACGAGAGAGAGCGAGTATACCAGGATGACGTAAATAAATAATTGTACACATAATACTGATTTGAGTTTTCATATTTTAAGCTTGCACAAAGAAAAACTGTTCCTAGCAAGTGTATAGCGCCAACTTTAGTTACCCGGATGAGCCTTTTACCGGTTATTATCGAGGAATAATATACCTCGGAATATCGTGACTGACCAATCAGAATCAAGTATTCCACAGAGCTGTGTAATAATCTTAGTTAATGTTAATTTCAGCATTTACTTATGCATTATTGAAATCAAATGTTTGTATCGGTTAATGTTATCTAAGGATTATATTATTTATTTGTTTATAGCTTGTTTGTTTTGTTGGTTTTAAATAGAATGAATATATACAGTGATAAATTAAAAATTTATAATTTAATATAACTTTTTATTTGAATATATTTGTTTATAATTATAGCATCATTACTCCACTAATGCTTGATTTATCGTTGTTCTGCTTGTTGCCTGGTTGATTTTCAGGGCTAGGCAAGATCAGCAGAAACTGTACAGAGTTCGGTTGGTCTGAACCGTATCCGCTTTATGTTGATGCCTGTATGATTGGTGACAACACAACCAAGCCTGTGAGTATCTCATCTGACTGAACTACTGATGATATAAATCATCTGGAGACAAGCTCAGAACAACTGTATACTGAGAGAATATGAGCATAACCACCATAGTCATTTAGGAGACCATAGTCATTACAAGAGTAATAAAAATTCAAATTAGTGGTCCACCAATATGACAGATTGGTTACACTTTATTTTAAGGTGTCCTTGTTACGGTGTAATTATACATTTAAGTACTGAGTAATATTAATTAACTACATGTACTTACTATATGGTTAGGGTTAGGATTAGGGTTTGGCTTAGGTTTACTTGCATGTAATTATGCATAATTAATTGTTATTATAATAGTAAGTACATGTAACATGTGTAACAAGGACACCTGAAATATATAATTGTAACCGATTTATGTTTGTGTTTAAAGGGGAATATCAGGATGAGAGTGGAGAGTGTCAACCATGTGATGAGTCCTGTCATAAATGTAAAGGTCCAACGAGTGTGGATTGTCTCAGCTGCGTTGATGCCTGATTGGTGACAACACAACCAAGCCTGTGAGTTCTCATCTGACTGAACTACTGATGATATAAATCATCTGGAGACAAGCTCAGAACAGCTATATACTGAGAGAATATGAGGGTCATAACCACCATAGTCATTTAGGAGACCATAGTCATTACAAGAGTAATAAAAATTCAAATTAGTGGTCCACCAATATGACAGATTGGTTACACTTTATTTTAAGGTGTCCTTGTTACGGTGTAATTATACATTTAAGTACTGAGTAATATTAATTAACTACATGTACTTACTATATGGTTAGGGTTAGGATTAGGGTTTGGCTTAGGTTTACTTGCATGTAATTATGCATAATTAATTGTTATTATAATAGTAAGTACATGTAACATGTGTAACAAGGACACCTTAAAATAAAGTGTTACCGACAGATTCTTAAAATTGTACAAATTTCGTAATTTTCGCAATTCTGATTCCCCCCCCCCACAGAATTGTGAGAAAAGAAGACATAATTATGAAATAAACTCTGATAAAAAGTTGCAATTACCTTTTTTATTTTTATTTTTTTATTCCTTGACGGAAACAAGCTTGTCACAAATCTGACATTTTTCTTGCAATTGCAAGTTTATTTCTCACCTTTCTGACTTTTCTTCTCAGAATTGCAAGTTTATATCTCACAATTGCGAGTTATAAAACTCGCAATTACAAGTTAGCATCTCACAGTTTGTATCTCACAATTCTGACTTTTTTTTCCCCGTAGAATTTCAAGAAAAGAAGTCAGAATTGTGAGATGAAAAGTTGCCAAAATTGCAAGATAGAATTGCACGATATTTTTTTAATCAGGATTCCAAGTTTATAATTTGCATTTGTGAGAATTTGTTTCGAGAACAAGTCAGAACTGTGAGATAAAGTCGCAGTTATCCTTTTTTATTTTTGTATTCCTTGCAAAAACAAGCTTTTAGTCTTGATTTGCCCAATTTTCTTGCAATTGCGAGTTATGAACTTGCAATTCTGGTAAAAGACTTGCGAGTTTATATCTTGCAGTTCTCAGAATAGTGAGATGAAAAAATCAGAACTGCAAAATAAAAATTGTGATTGTGAGATAAAAAGTCACAATTACCTCTTTTATTTTTTTATTCCTTAGCGGAAATAAGCTTTCATAGTATTACATTAACGGAAATGAAAGTAAACAAAAACCTCTGCTAAACTGCTGCTAACCATGACTAATGTAGATTTCTCTTCCCTTCCCAAGGACATGTACTACGCGTCTGTGAAGGCTCTCTATACGGTGGGCTACAGCACATCTCTGGTGTCTCTGACCGCAGCTATGGTCATTCTGTGCCGCTTCAGGTCAGTTTTAAAGAAGTCTGATCACACAACAAGTACATGATACATGTCAAAACAAGCTATTACCATGTTATTTTTGCTACTTTATTGGCAGTGAGAGTATGTTAGGAAAAAAAGAAATATTAAGTGCATTTAAACATGCATACTAATCATTTATCTTAAAGGGGTCATATGATGTTGCTAAAAAGAACATTATTTTGTGTATTTGCATGGATCTTCACTATCCCTAATTATTTAGCATTTAAGGTCATTTTAGCACAAATGGTGTGCTTTCTTTAAATGTAATTGTTGCAAGTGTAACTGTTTAGTTGATTATTTCTGTATTTATTCTGTATTTATTATTCAGGTAATCAGTGTAGCTTTTTTGCTTTGTATTTGAATGTGCGGAATAGGGCTGGGTGATATAGCTAAAAAAATGTATCAACGATATAATGTTTCATATCGTTCGGTATCGATCATTATTGACATTTTTATAACCTTTTTTTAAAACAAAGAGCAATAGAAAACATTTTTTACATTTAACCACTGTATTTTGAAATTAACTCAATTTATTGAGACAAACAAAAAATATTTTTTTGTTTTAACAGTTAAAAATGTTACACCGTGTCTACGGACGTGAGCGGCGCGGCGCAGTCAGAATTACCTCCTCTCCTAGGTTCACGAAACGGTCGTCCATAAAATGCATTGCTGTTCTGTTGTAAGTAACCTAAATGCATCTACTTTCGGAAGGCCAAATAAAGTGTGTGTTTCTAGGCGAAAGCAAAAGCAGTGTCTCCCTGACATAGCTGCTTCAACACTAACTGCGGTTACTGAAACCACGCCTTCTTTCTTTGCGTGCACATTTGGGCGGCATTATGCAAATATTTCCACATAGTGAGGTAGATATGTGGGGGCGTGTTAGAACGAGCCGTTTTAGGGGGCGTGGCAGGTCTTAACTTTGATAAAGAATATCTCTTTGGATTTGAGACTTTAGTCTTTGCAACTTAAGGGATCTTATCTATGCACAATCAGCTTGTAACACTCCAAAGAGAAAGGAAAACTTGAAAAATCGCATCATATTACCCCTTTAACAGTCAGTGCA